GCAGCATGATACAGACTGCCAGTTCTCCAAGCTCAGACAATTAGAAAACAGATAACAGAACTGCAAATGCGTAGTGTTCTTATCCATTTCACAGGGAGTAAGGCACCCTGTTTTTTCACAAATGCTCTCTATAAATGGAAGGTTGATAACTATGCTCTAAGGAAGGGGGGGGGATCATACCCCCTCCTCGACCCCCCCGATCTATGTCCCTGCCATTGTCCCACTGCTTTCCGTGTGCAAGGCCTGTTCTTTTTGGGCAACTGGGCCTATATTACAGTAGGGGCCTGAAGTTGCAGCTTTAATAGCCCCTACGTTAATCCAGCCCTGTTTAGGAAGGCAATTTTGTCTTAAGACAGTCAACAACAAATACTTTTATTTTGCTTTTTAACAACTCTTAGGCCCCATTCAGACCTGACTGATTTGTAGCTTGAAGCGTCAAGACTCTTGAGGAGAAAAAAAAAAAAAAAAATCTATTATTCTCAGTAGAGATGGTTCACATCTCCACTTCAAGTTGCCTAAAACCAAACGCCTGATGATTTGCACATTTTTATTTCCATAGAAATGAATAGAAAACATACAATTCGCTTTGTTGCGTGTTTTTCTTTACTAATAACATATGAATAAATAAATGGAAAATAAATAGAAATAATCATAAATATTAAATAAAATACATTAATAAAATGTAATGAATAAATAACCCCTAACCTTAAAAAAATATTAAACATTAAATAAATTATGATTAAAACCACCCAAACATAATAATAATAATTATTATTTTATTTATTTTGTGTTAGGGCATTTATGTATGATTATTATTATTTAAAAAAATGTTAAGGGTTAGGGAGTTAAGGTTAGGGGTTAATTATTATTTATGTATTATTATATATTATTCATTTATTTTATTCTTTTTTGTGTGTTTTAATTATATTTATTATTACATTTTTTTCCTTACATTTTTTTAATCCTGATGTACTTATCCACCAATTGCAGTTGAACAGCTGGGCCTGTCTTTTTTTTCTAACCTTGTTAGATCCAGTTTGCTCTTATCTCTCAATAATGTACAGTACACATTTGTATGAATTCTTCAGTTTCTTGGCAATTCCAGGCATGGAATAACCAGCATGAACAGCAGAGAAACAGACTATAAATTAAAATAGAGAGGAATGCTCCTGAGCTCTCAACTATGTCTGGAAGATTTGTACATAACGCGCACACCAAGATTTAAAAGATCTCTAGAACAAGCAGGAGCATTTCTGGAATGTAATATTGGTATGTGTGGGAATAGGGATTTGCCTATCTTAAAAGGAGAAATTCACTTTTCAGAGCATGTTACACGTATACCCATAATTCAGGTGTAACATGCTCCAGACCTGCGTACTGCTCCCCCAATCCCCCCAATCCCCCCACTCCCTGTGACAGCAGGCAATGGTTCATCTCCCGGCACTTGCTGTCACGTTTTGAAAATAGTGCAGCTGTTCAGGGATCAGTGATCTGTGAATGAGAGAACTACAAAATACTGTCAGCTGTTGTGGCTGATGGCTTGTAGTTCTTAATGAACTGTGAGGGCACTGATGAGTGCTCTTGTAGTTCATTCAGAAGCCCTGCAGCTTGTAAACAGTCAGCCTGTAACAGACGTATGGGCCGAAAGCTTCAAGGCTTGTCTGCAAGAACCTGGTATTGCACCCCCTGATCCTCTGTTCATGGGTGCAATGTTTTCCAGACTCCTGAGGGAAAAAAATTATAAAAATGCAGATTTGTTTTCCTGCAAAAATATGTGCATTTTTAAAAAATGTATTTTCCCCCACAAAAATGAGCTTAGCCTTTAGGTAACACACATTGAGAGTGTGCGTGAGTGTGGGTTTAGAAAATAGCTTTTAGTGCTTAATATTACTGATATATAATTTATTGATTGCAAGCCCCAATTTTAACACCCATTTAAAGGGGTTGTAAAGGCAGAAGGTTTTTTTTTTTTACCTCAACAGCCAATTTCACCTTATTTTCTAAATTCCAGCTTCCTTATCTACTAGTGGTGAAACCGAAATGAAACTTCTGGTGCCGAAACCGAAAATTCTAAATGCATTTGGCCTGAGAACCGAAACCAAAAACACGCAGATTTTAAAAATTAATATATATTTTTTGGAAAAATATACCCCAAATTGTTTTGTAAAATATGTAAGAGGATGTTACGGCAAGTAAATAGATACACAACATATCACGCTTTAAAATTGCGCAAGCTCGTGGAATGGCACGAAACTGTGGTACTTAAAAATCTCCATGGGTGATGCTTTAAAAATTTCTACAGGTTAGCAGTGTAAAGTTACAGAGGAGGTCTAGTGCGAGAATTATTGCTCTTGCTCTGACGTTTGTGGCGATACCTCACGTGTGTGGTTTGAACACAATTTACATATGTGGGCACGGCCTAAGTATGCATTCACCACTACGTGCGAGCACCGGGGGACTTTAAACTTTTTTTTGGTTTTTCTTTTTCTTTTTACACTGTCCCTTTAAAAAAAAAAAAATAATCACTTTTATTCTTATGACAAGAAATGCAAGCATCCCTTGTAATAGAAATAATTAGTGACAGGTCCTCTTTATGGAGAATAAGACCCCACAGCTCTCCTCTGCAATGTAAAGCATTGGATTGAAATAAAAAAAAAATAAAAAAAAAAATGGCCGGTACTGGAAGTGACATCGCTCCGGTCCTCCAAGGGCATAGAGATGTGTGGCGGCCATCTTTCCTTAACCTATATCTATGCTGAGCACCAGGATTGATGGTTTCTCAGGTAAGACTGAACTACCGAGTGGCAGGCAGGCGACAGCAGGCGGCTTTGAGGGGTGGGGTTTTTTTGGCACCTGTATCAGTGCTTTTTTTTTTCATTTCGGCCGACAGCCGAAAGGGTTGTGTTAGCCTGAAATGTTTCAGCCACTGGAATTTCGGTGCATCCCTATTATGTACCAATGTATCATTAATTTACCTCTGTTGCAGAAAAGAAAGAAATGTTTTCTTTGGCTTCTAGGACAGGCCTTACCTCAGCCTCCAGTCTCCTATAGAAAACCCCTCCTAAACCTGTCCTAGTATTAGGGTTAGAAAAAACATTAGAAGGCTTTACCAGCTGACCGCATTATACACACCCTGCACCTGCCCTCCCCCCTCCAGGAGATTATTCTAAGCCACCTCTGCAGTTACATGCTTTTCTAATGCAATCATTATCAATGAGCACCATTCTCACAAAATACACAGCCATCAATTGTTTTCTACCTTCTTCATGCATAGATTGTTCATTTGACAAAGTCTGCAATAGCTGAGCAATCACATAATAGCCTATGTGGAGCAGAGCTGTAGTACTGAAAACAGGAGACGTGTGTCCCTGGAAGTCTACAAAGCTCACCATACAATCTCCTTTGTATCTACCATCAACTATGTAGTGCAAGGCCCAGCCTGATTGGATACGGAGTGATTGGTTAGATATGCATGTTCTCCTATTATATAGTTTTGGTATATTTAAAGGATATCTTACAGAGATTGTACAGATTGTTATGTGTATAGCCACCTTTATACACCTAAAATTAACTAGTCATGCTTTTGTCTACATTATTTGTTAATGGCACCCCAAAATAAGAAAGAAACACACATTTTGCTGTGTGGAAAAAAAACTAGCAACAAAATGCAGTAAATGTTCAGTAACAAAAAAAATGTGCAAACTGCAATACGCCAAAATGTCCTATGAGCTACTTTGTAGGGCAGTCCATTAAAATCAATGAGTTTCCCTATGCCTGCTGCAAGAAAAAACAATGTGTGCTTCCACTATGCTAGGTGTGAATGGGGCCTGAAAGTGAAATTGGTGTGTTTACACAAGGATAATGAGGCTCTATTCACATTTGCGTGTTTCCAAATGAAGGACAAGCTGCACAGAAAGCTTGCACTTTGCAAACCATTTTGGAAACACGCATCACATTTGCATGGTCATTACATGCTAACTGCACCCGAAGCACGGGAAGCAGGTGTGCAATAAACCCACTGTAAGCGCACCAAAAACTACAGTAAAACATGCGCTATGCTCCACTCTAAGAAAAGTTCTGGAGCTTCTTTGGGCGTTTGTGGGGAGTAGGGCAATCCATTCAAGTGAATGGGCTGCTCTATGCAAAACAAGCGAAAATGTCCCCTCCAGAAACAAAATGAAAAAAAAAAAAAAAAATTATAGAATATGAGGACCCACCTGAAAAATCTATTCAATTTGTATTAAATCAGACAGGCCCTTGCACTACATAGCTGATGGTAGAACTAAAGGAGATTGTACAATCAGGTAGATGACTAGAAAAATGAAGGGCTGTGTCTGTATCATTGCCAATGTAGCATCTAAATGATGAAAAACACCTGTAAAACTACACGCAGCTTGAAGAAATTCATGCCAAATATGCTGAGAAAGATTTATGTATTCTCGGATTTCCCTGTAATCAGTTTGGAAAGCAGGAACCTGGGGATGAAGCTCAAATTAAAGACTTTGCAGCATCCTACAAAGTAAAATTTGAGTGTACAGTCAATGTTCTGTGATGCACTAAGATCTTCTGATGTACAGGAAGTGATGAAAGCAGAAAGCATTTTTGAAAATTTCAAACAGAAAGGTAAAAATTAAAAGCTGCCATGGATGAGGTAAGTGATAGATTGGATGGCTCGGGCAAGGGAATTCTTTGGAGACCCCCAGGTCATGGGATTTAGTGTTCCCATTGGAAGATTTCCCCTCTATTACCTTTCAGCGAACAACCCAAAATTGGGGTTTCTTTTACTTTCACTTTTTATGATAATGGTAAACAGGACAAATAGAGAGGGAGAATCTCCATAAGGGGGGCACAGAAAGCAATAAAAACTAACAGGTGCTGAAATCCATCTCCACTGTTTCCAAAAACTTAAAAAAGAAAAATATAATGATAAACTTACTGAGATCAAATTACTATTACTCAACATGTGGCATTTAGAATAAGGTTTGAGTACAACAGCATACCCTAATAATGCGGGCTGTCTCCAACAAGACACGGCCTCGCTCCATTCCAGATTTCTGGCTCCATATTTTGAAAGCAGCTTTGGCACTTTGAATGGCCTCATTTACCTCTTTTTCTCCAGAGTTAGTAAAAGTTGTAATGACACGTCCTGTTAAAACAAATAAAATTTGTAAGAGGACAAAAGCCAAACAGAATTGGCAGACAGTTCCTTGTAAGTCTTCACAGAACTCCCCTGGTATAAAAACAAATGCATATTTTATACACTTCTGGATGGTCATATAGCCTGCAACATTACACAGAAGAAAAAAAAACAAAAAAACAAAAAAAAAAAACCTTGGCTACTATATCCTAGCTGACAAAGAAATTCATTGTATTGTTAATTTAAGCACAAAAACATTTTCTATCATGCATTTGTATAGAGACTAAACTGTGAGCAGACTGCTCCTCCCTCTCTTCTCAAATTTTTAGTTTTCCAACTTTTGCAGATAGCTGCTGACATATGCATTGTAACATTTTTGTATTTTCTTGTTTTTAATAGAAGCTCACTCCCCCAGCTTTCTTGGCTTCTGTATAAAATACAATGAAATAAAAATCTCGTTAGAATAGATGTTTTAAACATAGAGTTTGTGCCCTGTGTATCTGTTCAATGTATCTGCAATGCAAAATGCCCGATTTTTCTTTGGCATGCAAACTAATCTAAACTGCATAGGGCATAAGGCAAATTGCCTTGTTCTTGCATTGAGGAAATGCAGACCAATGTTGCTGGTGTGAACAAGCCAAAAAACCTGTGATTAAGGAAATCTAGGGAATGCACTAATGATCGTCTCTGATTACCATCAGTCTGTTTCTTACGCTGACCCACAGGACTGGTCATTTTTGAATCACTGACCGAGAACAAGCATGCAGACCAAGATAGTACCAACCTGCAGAGAGCAGCCTAAAATGTTGCAGAAATATGGACAGAAAAGGGCCACTCATGATGCCTTCCAGCTTAGTTTTTCCCCATTTGTAGCACCACTAAAAACAAGCATATTGCAATAAAAAAGGAGTTGCCTTCTGGGCCCTATCCCATTTTCATACAGCCATATTGGTGAGGTAAGGTACTTTATCTGACTCCTTTACCTAAATATATGAATACTGGAAAACAACCAGTTTGTGCAGAATTTTGAATATGCTGGTTGACAAATATGTACATGCAGATTTCAGTGCAAAGCCTACATTTTCAAAACTGAACTAAAGCAATTGATTTAAAGTGGAACTAAACTGTATCTGAGCACCACAAACTATTTCATTCATTTAGAATATTTAAATCAAGCTCATCCACCCATCCATGTCTCCACGCTTTATTTTGTTGAGAAATCACATTGAAAAACACCCCTAGCATTTCTAGTCATGGCCATCTTGAGTAGGGCAGATAGAGGAATTATGTAGCATTTACTTCCTGGAATCCATCCTCAGCCAAGCAGGCAGGAGGGTGTGCCTAGCGGAGAGAACCCCTCCCCCAGATTAAAAGGGAAAAAAAATGCCCAGGAAGACTCCTGGGATGTATTGCAATATTTTGGCCTAGGCCAGAAACTAGGAAGCAACTGCAGGAATGAAAAGTTTAAAACAAGAAAATGTTACGTACCTTCCTATCTACGTAATAATTCGAACAGAATAAGGATTAAAAATAGTTAATGCTGATTAAGAGAGTTTCATTCCACTGTAGCTGTTCCCCAAAACAGTTACATATTCAAGGCATGCTGTGAATGATAACTGTCACAGTTGCTTGTAATCACAACCGAACTGCCAAGTCATCAAACAACTGGTTTCAAAACTTATGAAAAGTGCAGCACCATGGCAACTACAGATCAAACAGCGGCTAAGATGGCAGATTCCTGGCTCTAAAAAGGATAAGAGGGTTTAGTTACACTTTAAATAACAGGATTAAAAACATATCACCAAGAAAATCAAATATATAGGAAACAGTGGGAATGCCTTCTATCATAGATAGTAAAACCAAAATGTTACATCGCCACTCTAAAATATATAAAAGGTTGTAAAAATGACCACTAACATTTCATTCATGAGAATACAAGGTAGTAAGCTCATACAGTTGTGCTCACAAGTTTGCATACCCAAAGAATGTATACAGTATGAACCAGTTTTAAAGAACACATGAGTGACCAGGCAAAACACATTTCTTGTATTTCTTATAAGATTCATATTTAACTGTAGATCTTAACAGAATGGCAGAATCCTAAAAAAAAAAACATGGCAACAAGTAAACAAATGAAATGACCCTTGTTCAGAAGTCTGCATATCCTTAGTTCTTAATACTGTGTATTGCCCCCTTTTTTAATAGTTGTCTATGAGGCCCCAAATTTTTGCAGGTGGTATAGCTGACCATTCGTCTTGGCAAAATGCCTCCAAGCCCCTCAAAGTCTCTGGTTGTCTTGCATTAACTGCATGTTTGGGATCTCCCCAGTGTAGCTTGATGATATTAAGGTCAGGAGACTGTGATGGCCACTCCAAAACCTTCACCTTTTTCTGCTGTAACCACTGGAAGGTCAACTTGACCTTCTGCTTAGGGTTATTGTCATGCTGGAAAGTCCAAGAGCATACCATGTGCAGCTTTTGTGCAGAAGAATGCAAATTGTCTGCCAGTATTTTCTGATAACATGCTCTATTTATCTTGCCATCAATTTTCACAAGATTCCCTGTGCCTTTCGAGCTCACACCCCCCCAAAACATCAGTAAGCCACCACCATGCTTCACAGCGGAGATGGTATTTTTGTCACTGCAGACCTTGTTGACCCATCTCCAAACATAGCGTTTATGGTGGTGACCATAAAGCTCTGTTTTGGTCTCATCACTCCAGATTACAGTGTGCCAGAAGCTGTGAGGCGTGTCAAGGTGTTGTCAGGCATATTGATACCAGGTGGGGGTTTTTTGTGCTATTGGTGCAGTAAAGGCTTCTTTCTGGCAACTCAACCATGCTGCTCATATTTTTTTCAAGTATCATCATATTGTGCCCTTGAAACAATCATACCGTCTTTTTCCAACACAGCCTGTCTTTTTCCAACGCAGCCTGTCTTTTTCTCCTGAGGTTACTTGTGTGCTTTTCGTTGTATCCCAAGCAATTCTTCTGGGAGTTGTGGCTGCAGTCTTTGGATACCAAGCCAAGGTCAGGTAGACAATTTTCCACTTTTTAATAAGTGACTGAACAGTATTGACAGGCATATTCAAGGCTTTGGATATCTTTGTATATCCTTTTTCATCGTTATAAGGTTCCATTACCTTGTTACACAGGTATTTTGACAGTTCTTTTCTGCTCCCCATGGCTCAGTATCTAGCCTGCTCAGTGCATCCATGCGAGAGCGAATAAACCTATTGACAATTTATACACAGACACTAACTGCAATTTAAAAAGCCACAGATGTGGGAAGATAACCTTTATTTGCCATTTTATCCTGTTTGTGTCACATTGTGTACCAAGGCCAAGCACTCTAGGGTATGTAAACTTTTGATCAGGGCCATTTAGGAGATTTCTTTTATGATTATGATTTAAAATGGAGCCAGATAACTATGTGATAATAAATGGCTTCATATGATCACTATCCTTAAATAAAAGACAGTTTTTTTGGCATGATCAGTCATATTTTCAATATCAATGCCAAAATGTCACAATTTCTGCCAGGGTATGCAAACTTTTGAGCACAACTGTGGCAATCAATCATACAGCTTTAAAAAAATGTGCATATTTTGGCACCCAGGAAGCACAGGTGGTGCATACAGCCCGCTGTCAGCAGCCTGTCAAACTCAATCTTAAAGGCAATGTTCACCTTTCTTTTTTTCCCAAATTCCATCTCCCCCATGTACCAATATACCATTCATGTACCTTGGTTGCAGAAATATAAAAGCTTTCTTTGGTTTTGAGAAAAAGTCCTTACCTTAGCCCTTGCTGTATTTTTTAGACAGCGTCATCACTTGCTGGTATGTAGATTTAGGACAGAGAAGCCAGTAAGACACCAGCTGACCTCATTAGAACACACATCCTACACAGACCTCATTAAAAACCCTCACGCTTCACCCATCACCTATTTTTTCACAGCATCGCCGGCATCTCTCTACACGAGCATTTGCGTGACATCCCCATCGTCCCTTCAGACAGGCACAGGCCGCATGCTCAACTCCCTGGGACAGCATGAAGCCCACGGGACACCCATGATGTAGTGCAAGGACCTATGTGATTGAATTCAGATGATTGGATAGATGGTATGTCCTATTATATAGTTTTGGTAAATCTAAAGGAGATTGTTCAATCACATTGTAAAGAGTATGGCTAAATTTATACACCTAAAATTACCTAGCTGCACTTTCAGTGTCATTAAAGAGTAAAATCAGTGTGTATATGCAGTAAAGCATGCTTGTTATACTCACTGTGGAACCTAAGGGGTTAATCCTCTGCATTGTGTAAAAAAGCCATTTGATCCTGTCTTCTCTGATCCTCCCTTTCTTCCAGTGTCCCCCTGTTATTTCCTGATGAGACATATCGTGTGGAGACACTCTGCACGAGCTCAGTTTGGTGTGTATTGCTAGAGAGGTTTTTTTTTTTTTTATTGGCAGAGTGCATGTGATCAGCACAGGGCAAATCAGCACTGTCCAGACAAAGGTCAGGAGTTCTGCATCCTCCTAGAGCAGAAAGAAAACTACTACATGCTTTAACCATAACCAAATAAAAAAACGAGTGCCAAATGCAGCAAAATGTGCAAATCACACCACACCAAAATGTCCCATGAGCTACTTTGCCATGCTTAGCACAGCTCATTGAAATTAATTGGTTGCCCTATGTGTTCCACTGGAAAACTGAGCCAAAAAGCCTGGGTGTGAATGGGCCTAAAAGTGGAAGCTGGTTTGTTTACACAACAATGAGGCTCCATTCACATCTGTATGTTTCTGAATGCAAACTGAACAGAAAATGCATGCTTTCAGAAACATGCTGTAAATGTGCATTGCTTTTGTGTTAAAGGCACCCCAAAAGTGGCAAGCCCATCAAATGCTGTGGTACTGCACTGTGCTCCACTCAAAAAAAAAAAAAAAAAAAACCATTCTGGAGCTTCTTTGGGGTGATTGTTGCGTGTAGGGCAGCCCATTCAAGTGAATAGG